GACAGCACACACACACACACATGCTAGATTTAAATCACAGTTTCTGGGTCACTCTTAGTTTTGGTTAGTGACAGGGATGGAGAGTGAACTATCATTCAATAACAGATGTAATTCTGCAACAAGTTGTCAGTTTATTATGACGTTAAGAAATTATTTCTTAATATATTCTAAATGTCACCTTGTCTTGTTTGAGCATTCAGTTCATGATACTGAGCTTTTAAACTTTTGTGTAAGTATATTGAAATGCAATGAGTTGTCCAATACATGATGGATATTCTTTCTTTAGACTTTCCATGCAAAAATAGCATGGAATTGAAGTATAACTGAAGTTTAACTTATGTTGCACATCACTAAGCCCCAGAAGTGACAAAGAAAAACCCTGATGTTGTAATCCTGTTATGTGGAAACAAAGGTTTGTCAGCATTTGTTCACTTCTCTATCATGTCTTTATTTTTCTCTCACTTGCCAGTTCAGCTTATGTTTGGGAGGCAAACGTAGAATTACAGAATGGCTTGGATTGGAAGGAACCTTGAAGATCTTCTTCCTACCTCCTTGCCATGGGAAGGGCAGCTTTCCTTAGACCAGGTTGCTTCACTATCTTCCCAGTAAAGAATTTCTTCCTAATATCCAATCTCAATCTACCCACTTTCAGTTTAAAGCTATTGTCTGTTGTCCTATGACTTATACACCCTTGTCAAAACTCCCTCTCCAGTTCTCTTGTAGCCACCTTAGGAAGGGGCTTCGAGGTCTCCTTGGAGCTTTCTCCTCTGTTGGCTGAGCAGCCCTGACTCTCTCAGCCTGTCCTAGAAGTGCTCCAGCCCTCTGGTCATCTTTATGGCCTCCTCTGGACTCACTGCACCAAGTCTGTGTTGTTCCAGTGCTGGGGACCCAGCAGCCCCTAAGTGGGGTCTCAGAAGTGTGGGGCAGAGGGGCAGAATCCCCTCCCTCAAGCTGCTGCCCACATTGCTTTTGATGCAGCCCAGGACATGTTTAGTTTTCTGGGCTCCAAGTACGCTTTGCCAATTTATGTCCAGTCTTGCCCACTAGCACCCCCAAGTCCTTCTTGGTGAGGCTGCTCTTGATTCATTCATCCCCCAGCCTTGATTGATATGGGGGCTTGCCGTGATCCAGGTGTAGCACCTTCTACTGAGCCTTATTGAACCTCATGAGGTTCCCATTGGTTTGCTCCTAAAGCTTATTCATGTCTCTCTGAATGGCATCCCTTCCCTAAAACAACTTGGACATATTTAGCAGATTTCTGGGCTTTGAACAGGACATTTGAGCAATTTATTAACAGATGAAGGATGGATTTTTGGATGACTGGACTGCTATTTTTTGTATTTCCACACTGAGGAGAAGCATACATAGAATCATACAATTATTGACATTGGAAAAGACCTTTAAGATCATCAAGTCCAACTGTTAACACAACATTGTCAAGTCCACCACTAAACCATGATCTGAATTGACACATCTACATCTTTTAAATACCTCCAGGGATGAGGATGACTCAACCACTTCTTTGGGCAGCTTTGGTTCTAATGTTTGACAGCCTTTTCCATAAAGAAATTTTTCCTGACATTCAATCTAAGCCTCACCTGAGGCAACTTAAGGCCATTTCCTCATGCCATTTCACTTGCTATCTGGGAGAAGAGACTGATCCACTCCTTGCTATGTAACCTTTCGCATGGTTGTAGAGTGCTAAGATCTCGCCTCAGCCTCCTTTTCTCTGGACTAAACACCCCCAGCTCCCTCAGGTGCTGCTTGTAAGCCTTAGGCTCCAAAACAGCTCTGTTGCCCTTCTATGGACATGCTCCAGTACCTCACTGTCTTATCTTGTATGAGGGTCCCAAAACGGAACACAGCATTCAAGGTGCAGCTTTTACTTTCTCACTAAGGTTAGAGGTTTACACCCTACAACTAAATGGCTTGTCCTGGTCAGGTTGCACACAGTGTGATCCTGATTGTCTCATCCTTTCCTAAGATGAAAAGAGCCAAGGAATGGATATTGTCTATGTCTATAGTAAATCAGCAAAGCTTCAAGTTTGTTTCCTCTGGAAGATATGCTTTCCTTTTTTTTTAGCTGAACTGAGAGCTTCAAACTGCAGCAAGCAAATATTTCTGGCCTAATAATAAGCAAGTGTTCCTTCTGATTGCATATGGGCAGTCCTCTTGGTCCACTGAAGTTGGTTTTTTGGGGGTTTTTTTTTGGTGTTTTTTTATTTTTTAAGCTTTTCCCTACAGTAATTGAAAGAATAGAAAAATGCAGGCAAGGTTAAATCATTTACAGGCTGCAGTCACGCAGCTGCCTAGGGTGAGGGGCACTAGACCAGTGGAAGTGTAGGTAGGTGTGGAAGAGTGGGGCAGCTGTAGCCTCTGCTTGGTGGCTTAATCCCTTTCCCTCAATTTCTGTGCAGGCTGGTGACATGTAGTACCCTTTGAAAATTACCCATGGCTGGGTTGAGTTGGGTGCTATAGAGCATATATAAAAGCTAGTTTTACATCTGAGTAATCTTAAAGCAAAAAATATCTGTAAGAACTAATTCTTCTTTTTGTTAGGTTGATCTGGACAGAGAGTAACATCACTTCTTCCTGCTGTGTTTCCTGGCAGATTCAGAGAATTTTGTCACGTTTACTCTATCTCTAACCCGGTCAAAGCTGCTTTGAGAACAACTGTAAAGGAAATCCATGATTGTGCTAGTAATCTCCCCACAGTTTAAACTTTTAGCACTATTTCTTTAGAATGAAGCCTTTCTATGACCTCTGTTTAATAACTTTTCCAAGTACTTACTGTTCAGTAAAAAAATTGTTTCCATCTTTTCAAATTACAGGAAACACTTTTTTTACTCTTATCAATAGTGGTGTGTGATGTTAGTGATGTGTTTTTTGAAAGTCTAGAATGAGTCACTGTAAAGTCACTGAAAGGACACTAGTTACCACATCTACCCTTCTGAATATACTTCATTTACATTTTTAATGCAATGTCTTTTGCCACAAACTAAGAATTTTAAAGCCTCTCCTGAAAAGAGGCTGAGGCAAGTTGTTACCAAGTAAATATTTCTAAGTCAGAAAAGATCAAATTAAGGGTGTTAGGGAAACATCCTATGTTCTAGTCATTTTTAGTAATGATGTTATCTGAGGAACAGCAACTGTCTAGTGTTCTTGGATTTTGACTGCCTATGTAAACATTTTTTTTCTGTGTTTTTAAGTTCACAGTTATTAAAATGAAAACAACCCTAGATGCTTTCTTATTATTTAAAATGGCTTATTTTTTTATTGATGGATATTTCCTTTCCTATCTGATGTGATAATTTAGTGTTTCAGAAAACTTGTACTCCTCTTGGGATGAAACATCTGCAACCGCAATTCGATTACACTAATCTTCTGTACCTTAAACTCTGATTAAGCAGGAAAAGTTGGTTTAAGGCCTCCAGTGTTTTTCAGGTGGTTTCTGCTGATTTATTTATTTCTTGTATAAACCCTTTTCTATTATGAGTACTAAACTTGATTTTGGGAGGCCATTATACAGTAATGGTTCCAGGTATTTTAAATCAGCATTTTTCTTAAGCAGTCTGTCCCTGCACTCTTGTGTTGCCAGCTACACATCCTGGCCTGATGCTGATTGAGTTTGAAAGGTCTCCTCATGTTCAGGAGCTCTCAGTAGCATCAGGTGGTTTTTTGAGACTAGCTGCTGTTTCTTCACAAGATGCTTTTCTCTTAGAAAGCCAGACAAAAGAGTATTTAAGTGTGATATGAAAACCATAATTCTCAGCTGATAGTTTTTGGTGGACAGAATTTTTCCTCATTTTAAGGAGCAAAGTTTTGGAGTGCAGATTTTTCTTCTCAGGAGCTCTCAGTATAACTCTTGGTATGCACACAAGTACAGTCACTCTACTACTTCACAGCAGGATGAGAGAGGTGAGAGCTTCCAAAACTGTGAAGGGGCCTAAGTGAGTTCTGTTTTAACAGTGGGTTTTTTTGATCTATAGAGCTCACTTCCTGCTTTGCTGCCCGTGCTACTCCCACTGTATGCACAATCTCTGGGGCAGGGGGTTGGATTGTGTATTGGCTGTGTACACTGCTGCAAGCATCTGTCCCTAGAGTCGAGGTGATACCTGCCACAAGGGTGTTTGTTACCCTGATACAGATTTCTAACCCTGGTGGTGCTGTTGGAGCTGGTCTGCCAGAAGACACTAAAAAGGAGCAGTTAAAAATCTTCAAAAACAGTGAAATTGAGATGATGCATCTTTAATTACACTGTAATACCAGTTGGCATTGCTTTTCTAAAAACCTTCTGGGAAGAGGAGGTAGGCATTGCAGCGGTGCCAATACGCAGATGCAGTACGCCAGGGATGTGGGTGTAGAGAGATTCATTCACATGTGACTGCAGGATGTTTTAAACAAATTCCTAAATTCTAGAATTGGCTACCTTTCATTATTTTGCAATTCTGATAATAACCACACTTTGCTTATTGATATGTTCTCTGATGTTTTTCTCTGTATATTTATTTTAAATTTAAAATGACTTGGATTTGCCTAGCAACCAGCTAGTTTTTGTTGTGACTTCTCCAAATATCACAGATTCGCTATAATAGTGCTCCCTCTCAGCACCAAAAAACCAAACCAGCAGCCCACATCCTATGTGTATAACTCCAGGTTTGAAAAATTAAACATTGAGATTACTTTATGCTTATGCTATTCTCTTTTAAAAGCTGTAGCATTCATACCTTAAAGACTTAAAAATTTTAAGTGGAGTCTTAATATTCAGTTTTGAATCCATATTGTTCATCTGAGTGCTTTCCTCAGAAGCACAAAGCTGCTCAAGCACAGTAATACAAAACTATTCAAGCACAGTATACAAGCAGTGCAGAGTTACATGTCCAGTTCCTACTAAAGCAAATGCCACAACAGGAGGCATTAAAAGAAATTAAACTGCACAGAAGCAATTTAATTTTTCATATGTTGGTGTGACTGTGTAGTAACTGGTAGTATGGCCTCACCTTGACTACTGTGTGCAGTCCTGGGCTGCACTATTCCAGGATGTGAAGGTCCTTCAATGTGTCCAGAGGGTAATAAAGCTGGTGAAAAACCTGAAAAAAAAAAAGTCCTGTGAGGAGTGGCTAAAGATTTTGGGCTTATTTAGTTTGGAGAAAAGGAGGCTGAGGGGTGGTGGTGTCAAGCTCCCCTAAGAAAAAATTACTGTTAAAGAATATTACGACCAAATTAAGTTCCTCACATTAAAATTTGCATTAAGTTCAGATCACTTTCTAACATGAAATGTCACTGGAAGGTTAAACAATTTGGAAGATCATGGTAATACTTTGTACTTGTCTAAAAATGTATGTATTGATGAGACATATCAGTCTCATTTCACAGTATTAAAGCATATTGAGTAACTTAAAAATCATAATATGACATAAAACTTTGAAGGACTTTTTTGTTCATTAGATGTATATAAGTTTTCAGCTGTCTACTTATTATTTATTCTTTAAATTAGATTATTTTGATAGAAATTAAAATACATTTTAATGCTGTGCTCTCTGACTTCTGCATGTTTTCCAGTGGTTTGCTACTGGAACTGGAGCCATACTGCTACTGGTACGCTTGCATAAGAATCTTAAAAAGACAATGGCATGATCAACTTAATAGACTATATTTTTCTGTTGGTCGGGGATGACCAGCAGCTGTAAAGAAGACTCTGATACCTTGTCCTAATTTTTTTTTCTATGTCATCCTTCCAAATCATCCCCTGTAGACAGATTTGGTTGCCCACAGAACATGTGGGATTATTTAAATAGGAAGATGATTTTTTTTTTCAGCAAGTTAAAAGGATCAGCTTGCATTTTGAATATTGCAAGAGGACATTACAGAATGACCTTTAAAGTAAGTTTGTAGAAAATGGCATTGCAGGGTTACTTTTTTTTATTTTGTGAATTGCCAGCTCTAAAAAATCTGTAGTTCTGAAAAGAAAACTGAAACTTACTTTCCTTTTAGTAATAATGGGCAAGCTAGGCTTATGCCTTCCATTCAGCTCTAACTTACTGTAGCTACAGTCAGGTCTTCCATCAGCAAATACCCACAATTATGCTGTAATATCTGCATTAACTTTACAATGTTATTTCTAAAATAAAGAGTAACCATAACACCAGTTAAAAGTAATGGAAGTGTGGAATTCCTATATGATATACGGGAACAGCTTTTCAGCTATTTGAATGCCAGACCCAACCCGCATGTTACTGCTTCTGCTGTTAGTTTATGTGGACTGACCTTGGAAGTGCCTGTCTCACGGCCTCTTCTGCACCCAGTTTCTACGGAAGCTCAGCTGTTTATTGCACTTCTGTTTTAGAAGTGCTATGGCACCTCAGTTCTATTTCTCCTAAAACCTTGTTTTACTGTTGCATTTTGATTGCATAGTCTGTAGTGACATAGTAGAGTCCATAGAGTAAGAGGCTTAAATGGGAAAGTCAAGGTTTCAAACAGAGGTAAAGGACTTAAGCATTTCTCTCTTATATTCCTGCTACCTCAAGAGATCAGGTCATGCTCATTGTGTGAAATCTAAGTGTCTGACAGTGAGGAAGATTTTTTTCATATGCTTATGTGTTTTCAGTCTGCAGGTTATGTTGCTTTTGTGTCATAGACCAGTAGTCATTCTTGTAGAGAGTTGATGGGGTTAGGCTACATTTGGGGTTTTTTACCTATTTAGGACAGGAACTTGTGTATGTGTGTGATTTTGGCTGTAGGTTACCTTGGAAACTAAGTTCAGGATGGAATTATGCATTAAAGGATCTTGTTCTTCATGTTACAGATTCTGAGAATTAACAGTGAATATGACAAAATCATTTTTGAGCAATTTTGCAATGCATAACTCAATGCAAGTAAAACAAAGCCTGAAAAAAGAGATATTGGTTTGGTATAGCCAATATGACAGTGTTCTACGTTGTTCTCTTCACTCAGCAAAAGGGTTTGGAAGGTAGCATGTTATCTCTCCTCATAGTTTTGTCCATAGGTTTATATTTCAGAGGGGTGCTTTAAATGAATGTCTCCATTATAGCTTTTTGTCTTGTATTTTGACAAACAGTTAACACTTTTCATTCTAAAATGTATTTAATGTCTCTTTTCTAATGACATTCAATTTGGCTGTTGAAGTAAACTGTTTGCTTTCTTCAAGTGTAATTAAAACTTCAGCAAAATGAGCTATAGGTAGAAAAACAAGAGATTCCCATTATATTTGTATTTTTTAATATATTGCTCGTATGTGATTTACAGTTAAGGTAGAGAATTATATAAAACCAAGATGCTTGCATTCTCTAGAGGTGGTGGCTACTTCAGAAATTACTTCTCTGGAAAAAGGCAAGAGCAGAGTTGTTATCAGCAGCAAGTAGAAGACATGGAGTGCATTTCTCATCAGGGCAATTATTTATCTCAGATCTGCCAAGTTTGGTTCAGTCACATTAGGATGTCCCTTAGGGACAAAGATGGAAAGCAGTGCTGCAGGTATTTAGTGCAAGTCAAATATTTTTAAGCATCCTGAAATGTAGGAGCTGCATTTGATTGACAGATGAGAGAAAAGTCATATTCCTCTTTATCTATTTTTGTTTACTAGTTTTTTTTGGATTTTTTTTTTTTACTTTCCAATTTTTCTGTATAGCTCTTGAAGGAGTGGTATTAGGGGACATTCCTCTCTTCATTTATACTCTCTGAAACTCCTATGTGACAAATATCACAATATTTTGGATGTTACAATTCTTCTTACAGGCCAAAAGAAGCTTGTCTTATGTAGTGTTTCCCAGTGCATGTCCCACAGTGCAAGGAAAGAACTGTTTTGTTCACTCGGAGACAAAAGGAAATGTCTTGTTGCTAAACATAAACTGTACATTAGTGAAAATAAAGCACCCTAAGATATGTTCCATGTATTGATAGTATTCTGTAGGAGAGGTTTACTAAAATGCAATCTCATGTACATAGGGTGTGGATTCCACCTGTGAAGCTGTTAGTTCTTCGTGCTCCTCCATAGAATCCTGCCTTGTACTATTGAGAGAATCAACTTGGTCTGAGCCACTGTCACCTCTAGATACCTACTGTAACTTCAACCAAATGAAAGCACCGGGTGGTATCTGGGAATAGCTTCTGTTCATGACAAAAATATGCAGACAGTTAAAATAAGATTTTTAATATAGTAGATCTTTGAATAATTTGAATATGATTCCTTTTTTTAACCAAAACAGAAAGAAGAAGGAAAAATTCAAGGGCAGCTTAATAAATCTGATTCTAACCAGTACATCAGAGAACTGAAAGATCAGATAGCTGAGCTTCATCATGAGGTAAGTGATATTATACTACAGTTTCTGATCACTTGTACCTTTTGTCCTTTCACCTGTGGCAGGTTTTGCTTATTTAATAGTTACTACATCTGTAGTACCTGTTTATGTTGAAGTATGTTATTTTAAATGAATGCAATAAAAACTCTTATACATTAATCTCGCCTTTAGCATGGAATGTAAGAGAACAAAATCATATTTAGTTATGTGATTTGACATTAAATGTTCCATCTTGGCTTTTCCCTTAATTTCATGAGTTGATCATATTTGTGTTGCATTTACTCCATTTGGAACTACATATATGAAAATAAGCCCCTTTTTGTCTTTATTTGCTACAATTATTAAGGCTACTATAGTTAGAAACTAAACCTCATTTGCGCAAGTAGAAGAATCCCTGCGTAAATTTTCTGGTTCTTGCTGTTGAGAAAATGAATTTTATGTGGTGGTATACTGAGATTGCTTAAAAAAAAAAGGATGCTTGCTTAATATCAGTTAACAGATTTTTAAGTTTTAAACTGCCAAACCCTTCAATCTATGAAATGTCTGTCTTCAAACTTCCTTGCTCTAATAGTTGTAGTAACTTTCTGTTAGTTAAAAAGATCAGAAGGTCTTGAAACCAAAATGGCTTATGTAACTCCTGTGCTCAGTGGCGCATTTCAGTTCATGCTGTGTTGTGAAGAAATGTCTTTACCTAATACTCTATCATGTGCAAAATGCCTGGTCATCTTTGCAGTAGAGTCTCTTTCTAGCCTTTTCATACACAGCTCTGAGAGTGTTGTTTAAAACCATGGGATTTTAGAGCAATTCAACCTAATTGCTTATTGCCTTTTTACTTTTATTAAATAGACACATCTTTTCTTTAAGTGTAGATAGTGTTTTCATAACAATCTGAGAAGGTCCAAGCTTTTAGGATCAATCCCTTGAGACTTATAACACAGTTGAGGATCTTGGAATGTTGTCTATGCTATAGATCACTATGCTATAGATGGAGGATAGTCTCTAGGGCCACCGGTCCAGCACCTTTGCCAATCATTAAGCTCACTTAAAAACAGATTAAAAAAATCAATAACCTGGCTTTCTCCATTAAAGCATTCTAATTAGTTTTCTTTGTTGCTTGCTTGAAGAATTCCAAGAAAGTCAGGTATTTAGTGTATTTTTGTGTTAAGAACAAAATAAGACACTGTACTGACTTTTTCCTCTGCTCACTGTAGGTTTAAAAGGTAGGAAACACTGCTTTGGGGGAAAAGTAGAAATACTCTTGGAAAGCTGTTGCATGATTTTCTCTGTACAATCATTTTTTGTATGCCTGGATGAGCAATTGAATTGTCATGAAGGCAAGCCATATCGTACATCTTTAATATGTATAAGTTAACATGAACAGGTTGGGAAGAAGATGAGGTTCCTAAGCTCACAGAATAATGATAATTCTAAGTAGTACCAGTGATTTCCTAAACAGTTCAGTCTAGTCAAATCTTTATCAGCATTTCAATTGACAGAAAGGAAATGCTATGAAGAACATGAATTTCAACAATGGCAGAGTTTGAGTAATTCCATGGGAATCGCTCCTCTTCCAGATATGTGCTTTGTGGTGGATAAATTTTTAATTTCAAAACTAGGTAAACACTATAGAAAGGAAATCATTCTAGGATATATAGGAACAGTAAGAAGAAATGGTTTGACATGATGATTTTATAGATCTTTTCTGACTTTAGTCATTCTATGATTTTATGAAACTCTGTATGTAATAGATGTGTGCTACCTTGGCAGCATTC